AAAAAAAACGAGTCGAACAAACTTTCATTCGCGAACGTTCGATTTGTTTGCATAGCATAAAACCAAATCGAGAAAGAAGGAAAGATTTTTTTTACCAGTCAATCTCCATTACATCACAAAACAGGGCAAAAAAAAAAATGGGATTATCAGCATTTACAATCACCCAAGACCAAAACTGGCTTCCAAACACAAGTACCAACAACAACCTCAGAACTAATTACAGAAAATTTACATGATCAAGCTCCTATAAATTTTATCTATCATTTATCTTTTTTTTTTTCTCTCTGCATTTTTTCTTATTTTCTATCTCGAATCGCAGTACTAACTACAACGACGAACGCCACATACTTCCTTCGAACGAAATAATAATAATTGACACGTCATCATGGTATCGTCTCCGATCGCCTTGCGGAATATCGAGCAACTGATGAAAATCCATACCTAAAAAAAAGAGACGCATAAATTCGCGCTACCAAAATTAACCGAAAGCAAAAAAAAAAAAAAAAACTTTCGTAAAAATCATCTTAATTACCGGCTTGCTTAGCCGCACGAAACAACAATTCCTTGACAAGATGCTGAGCTGGATCACCCTCAGGAAAATTCAACATGAATGACTCGACTTCATAAACGACCTCCTCGTTCGTGAAGTATTGGTAGAGCCCATCGGATGATAAAATCAAGAACTTGTCGTTCGATTCCAATCTATGGTGGTAAAGAGATGGAGAGCACGTGATGTAAGGCGATGTCCCGATATAGTCGATTCTAAACATCTCGAGAAGTGCATTGTTCCATTTCGGCTGTTTTTTTGTTGTAAAAGAAAAAAAAAAGAAAAAAAAAACGATTCAAATGTACGTTAGCAATCGAAAAAATTGGGTTTATTTATTTTGAAATTATTCTAAGTCGGAAATCAAGCTCGATCGATTGAATATATATTCTTCATACATGTTTGAGAAACCCGGCTCCGAATGCTCGGGTGACCTTCAACGAACCTTTCACCCGACCATTGATAACTGCAAACGGGTCATCACGATGCGCTTTTCGAATCCTCCTCACTTCCTATAATAATAACCCAAGAATCGATAACTAAATTTTACAAGACAAAAATTGTCAAAATACACAAATTAAATCGACTTGTTACCTCCTTAACGGACGTGCTATGACCCATCGTTTTTTTTTTTTTTTTTTTTTTTCAAACAATAATTATATTAAAACTGAAAACTCAAAAGAGTACACCTGATGTGTCAACCAACAAGAATCATACATCAAACAAAAAAAAAAAAATGGTCTTGTTACCTCCTTAACCGATGTGCTATGATCCATCGTGAGTTGACAATAATCGAACATTGTCTCCTCACTATTCATTCTTCTTATTTTCCCACTTTCGCCCTTTCGGGCCAACACGGCTCGACTATCCCCAACATTCATCAAATAAACGTCGTGACCCTTTATTACCATAGCCAAAACGCACGACCCCATTAAAGCTAGCTCGGGATTCTCGGCGAGCATCATATCGGCTATCTCCAAATACGAGGCTTCGGTTTTCCTCAATGCCTCAGATAAACTTCTCAAGACCTCCGAGTGATTAAGGCCCGGGCCCGGTAAACGGCCCGCTACACTATCCGGGCCAAGATTGCTAAACTTCTCCCTCAATTTAGTATCAAGCTCCGTGCTTTCTTCGCCAATCAAGAACCGGTTGAGCTCTTTGCGCACGTTCGGGTAGAGATTGTTCGAGAGGAAGTCGGTGGCATCGGGTCCGTTAAAACCGTCGTAAACGCCGACAAAGGCCCAACCGTTTTCTTGGGAGATCACGATGTGGACCCGATCCTCACCGGCCTTACCCTGGGCCCACTGAAGATTCGGGCCAGTGACGAAAGGCTGGTGGTGATCGTCGTTTTCGTCGGTCAAAGTCAAACTCATTTCACTACTCGAATTGATGCTAGTGACAGTGCTGCTGCTGTTTCCACTAACACTGTTTTGGATTATTTCCTTATTGAAAGTCCAAAAGGGTAGTTTGGGGATGGCATTTCTGAGGTTTTGGGCCAGGCTCTGTTTTTTCGGGCCGGTCCGGTGGGAGTCCAGCGGGCCGGAGATGAACCCGCGCTCGATTGGGCCGGAAAGGAAACCCTGCTCGATCGGGCCGGAGACAGGGCAGGAATTCCGGAGGATCGGGCCGGATCTTGCCGTGTGGCCGGAGCACGAGCTTCTGGGCACCGGCTGCAAAGGGGTGGAGGAGAAGAGCTCGGAGGCCTCGAAAGCGGAGGATCTCTCGAGGACGGCCGAGGCGAAGGGGTCGGTGGAGAGGGGGGTTGAGACGTTGGCGGAGACGGCGGCGCCGGAGATTGTGGGGAAGGGAGCCGCCGCGCTCAGGGCGGCGGCGCCGGCGGGATAGTCGTGGGGTATGTAGCAGTAGGAGTGGCCAAGGCCCTCGTCGGGGGGCTCCGAGGAGTATACGGCGGCGTCGTTCCGCCGCCGGGAAATCTCGCCGGCGTCGCCGGCGAAGCAGACGGTGAGCTTCCGCAATCCGTTTCCCATTGTTCTGAGGCGCCGGGAAATTGTAAAGATTTGATTTTTACTGTGATTTGAATTGGAATTACGAGTATTTTGGAGGAGCAGAGGATAAATACAGAGGAGACTGAAGAATGGATTTGAGTTCAAATTTCATGGTTTTGTATTAGAGAGAGAGAGAGAGAGAGAGAGAGAGAGAGAGTTGACTTTTTTAAAGGAGAAAATTTGGAATTTTTTGAGGTTTAAATTTTGGGTTAGTTTAATTAAGTGAAAGCTTTTGGGCTATGGTGGGTTGAGGAAGTTGACTATGAATATATATATATATATATATATTATGATTATGATTATGATAATTATGTGTAGCAATATTAAAGTATGTTATAATATTAAGTACTTAATATAATTTAAAGTTACATTTTCTTGTGAGTGTGTTTGTGGGGTTCAAGGAAAATGGAATGAAGAATATTTGGATTATAAAAATACAAATTGTAAATATTTTATTTATATTTTATATCATAGAGGGACAATATTAATTGGTAATGCAAAGTCAAAAGGTTCCACTTGCAAATATTGTGGATTGCTGGTAAGGATGCCATCATGGCTAAATTGCCCTTGTAATTATTGGGAGATTAGACAATTTGTATTTTGTGTTTATCATTTAGCAACATAATGACACATATTATCATTATTCATTATACACCTCACTTTAAAATCGACAAGACCGCTATTTTTAATTGTATGTAATGGTATGATTGATTGTATATTAATGCTATTTTTAACTAGAATGTATATTATTAAAAAGAGTAATAAAATTTTTATTAGCATTTGTAAAAATGATAGCACCATCCAATATTAAAAATAACATCATACACAATTGAATATAGCATCAAATATGGTTTTCACCGTTCTCACACTAAACCTAGTTTTTATTTGAACCACTTATATATATATATATAAGGACAATTTTTTATTTTTTTTAATGGACTAACTAGAGAAAGAAGTGGACCTCTCATATAATAATAATAATAATAATAATAATAATAATAATAATAATAATAATAATAATAATGATGATAATAACAAATGTCCTATGTGTACGATGTAGATGGTGCATTTACTATTCTATTCATGATTTTTATTCAAATTATATTTATGAGAAATATTTATTACATCCAATGTTTTTGTGCTAAAGTGGAGCTTCAATTTGTAAAGTCAAAAGGTTGCCCTTTTCTTGGGGGATTTGCATTATGTGCCACCCACTTAGGTGATGTTGGAAAAAAATAGCATAAAAGTAAGAGCATGATTTTGACTTAGTTTTTATCTTTTTTGTTTGTTTTAAGAGAAAAATAAATTATGTCATACATTTTTTTTTATTTTTTTCTAATTATTTTGGCTTCAAAACCGTATGAATCTACACAACCGATAATAAATAACTAATATTTAGTTGAATGAATTAACAATAAATAACTCATATTTTGAGTTTTTTCGATTCTACAATTAACTTATTGTGTATTGTATCAGTTGATGTGATTAATAAATTCAAATAAAAGTTTGTCAGTATTGCATTTTTCCTTATAACTACAATCACAAATGCTAATATTTATTTAATTCCAAATTAAACCCACCTTATATGCTTCCTTGAAACCATACTGCGTATTGACTTCATAACGAAGTGCTGACTTTTTTTTTTGGGTAGTCAGCCACGGTATTTGGTCTTATGCTCCGACTAATCTGTTGGTCGACCCAGATCGCACACCTAGTCGTGGTAGGTGAGTCTCCCAACAAGAGTTTTTGCATTCATAATGACTCAAACTCGAGACATTGCTTAAACGACATCGAGTTATTTACCACTTGAGTCAACTCATATTGGTAACGAAGTACGACTTTTGTTTAAGTATTTTGGGCACTTGTGATGTTTTGACTTTGTGTGTGTGAGTGTGTGTGTGTGTGTGTGTGTGTGTGTGTGTGTGTGTGTGAGAAGGCTTCCTTGAGTTTCACCATTTATTTTTATTTTTTTATTTTTTGATGAAAAAGTGATTAAAGAAACCAGCAAAGACCCCAAGCATTAGGCTTTATGTCTCATGTGCTTCCAATTTTTTACACTATTTGACCTTTTCATTTTAAGCTATGTTTTCAAAATTTCAAATGGGCTAATTAAATTAAAACTTTTCCTTTAAGAAAATTTCTTTATGATAATTTTTTCTACGTAAAATTTAACTTGGATTTTGGTATGATTGACATTGACTTATTACCAAACAAATTATATTTATTCAATCGTAATTAAAATGTTGTTTTCACACTATATATGATACACTATGGATTTTCATTTTATTTCAATTTTTTGACATAAATTCTGGAACAAGTATGCACTATGGGATTTCGACATTTCTCCTAAAAACAAATAAATTTTCACGTAACACTTTACCAAATAATAAATAAATAGATCGAATAGCAATGACAAAATAAATTAAGGAAGATAAAGAAAAAATAGAGAAAAGAAATATATAAATCTTTTCTACGAAAAATTGCAAGTCCAGTCCAAGTTTGTTATTCAAAGCCCACTTTCTAAAAGGCCCATATGTTATCAGGCCTTTTCATTGTGGCTTATTTGAACAATGTTTAATGGAAATATTGACGTCAGCTATCCTTCTGAAAAAAGTTTTTACATAACTGCACCCTTTATTATTAAGTTAAATACATTCTTTTTGATTTTCATTTATACTCTAAATATCAGTTATTATTTTTTTTATTTTTTTTTTTATTTTCATTTTTTTAATTCATATTTAACCTTTTATAAACCTCATCTTATCTTTCTCCTGGATCTAATTTTTCTCCATCTCGTTTTCTTCTTCTTCTAATTTCTTCTTCTTCTCTCTTTTTCTTTCATTCTTCTATTTTTATTTTTTTTCTTCTCTTTCGATTCTTCTTCTTCTTCTTCCGATTTATAGATTTCCCCTAATTTAATTTTCCCAAATTTTTTCATCAATTCCGCATCCCAATTTTTTTTCATCCCAATCCGCATCCCTAATCTAATTCTCACTGCTCAAATTCCAAATTCCAGACGTCGGCGTGTTTGGAATAGGCGTGCAAGGTTCGAATAGCAAATCGTCATAAAAGGATCTACTAACTCCGGTTGCTCGTCGTCGTTACGGCTCAACGACGGGGCATCATTGGGTTCAATCGGTAGGGACAATTTTTAATAATTTTCTATTTTTCAGGCTTGGTGTGTTTTTACGATTTTTATGACGATTATTAGCCTTCGATTCGCACTCCTTGAATGATCGACTTGAGTTTTTAGAGGAAGTCTATGAAAATTATTTTCATTCATTATGTGTCTGTCGATTTTTGTTTATGTTGAGGTTTGTTATTTTCTGGATTGTTATGGTTTTTTTTCATGTTACTTTGTATGTTGTTATGGTTGTTTTCATGTTACTTTTACGTTATTATGTTGTGGTTTTCTTGTTACATCGAAGGTTTTTCAGTTCTTCATATTTATCTCAATTATATATATATATATATAATCAATTGTTTTTTTCAGGAGAAGATGAAGATGATGAATAAAGGGAAGAAGAGAGAGAAAAGAATGAAACGAGATGTAAGAGAGAAATAAGAGAGAGAAAGAGAGCAGTTAGATAAGAGAGAGAAAGAGAGAGTAGTTGAATTTTGAAATGATGTAACTTTTTATTCAAGCAATTTTGTGTACTGTTTGGAGTAGATTGGGAACTGTGTATGACTAATAACTGATTTGTAAAATCTTTATTAAAAAAGGGCAGTTATAAATTTTTCCCTGTTTAATGCTATACTTCTAAGCCCACTAAGCAATAGCAACGTAATTGAACAGGTCAATTAAATTTCTAGAAGGTCAATAACATACAATTTCTAACAAGCTTATTAATAACAAAATCTATAACTATACTTATACACTACAAATAAACACTTCAATTCTAACGAAAAATTTCAACGGCAAAAATTTCTGTTGAGAATTCCAATGAATATTCTAACAAACTTAATTTTATGTTGGAATAAGTATTGGATAGTTGAGGAATTCCAACGATTTATTTCCGTTGGAATAGTTGTAGGAATTTATTTCCATAGGATTTTCCGTTGGATATTTGCTATTCCAACGGCCATTTTTCCAACGAATTTTTATAGTAGAAATATCCGTTGGAATAGTTATTCCAACTGAAATATAAAAAATTCCAACGGAAAATTTCCGTTGGAATGTAAGAGTTTTTTTTTTTTTTTTTTT